GCCTGTCGCAACCCAGCCGGCAGAACCAGTGCAGCCAAAGCAAACTCCACCTTTGCCACCGGTTCAGCCACCAGACCAGCCGCCTGTTGAGCCAGAATCACTGTCACAGCCTGAGCCAGCAGAGTATCCACAACAGCCGGCAGCACCTATGCCACCAGCATCACCAAAGGCAGCATCGGCGGCAAAGGCACCAGTGGCAGCCAGGCTGCCACCATCTCCAAAGCAGCCTCCCAAAGCGCCAACGATTTCCCCACTTGGCAAAGCATTTGCCAAGCTTGATCAACAGCCGAAGCGTTCTCAGCGGAAGCCAAAGTGATCAGGAGATTAGTGTTTTGGTGTTTGTTTTAGGTGTCATTATATATTTTAATAGTGGCATTATATGAGGCTTATATGAGAGATATATAGCATTACCAGGCTCCACCCCCTAGGGTTGGAGGGGTGTTGAAAAACACCAAAACATTAGAAAACACAGTGTTTTTGACGTTTTTTTTTGCAATTTAGAGTGCCAACCTAAAGTTTTGCAGGATTTCTGGGTACAGAATTTCTGGGGTCTGCAACAAGGAGATACTTTTTAGATATTTTGAGATAGTGTCCTGGCAGGATTGGAAGTGAGCAGCGCAGATCTGCTGATGCAGCAGCCTTTGCTAGACAAATGAATGAAGGACAGTGGGTGAGTGGTGACCAGTGGGCTGAGATAGATGAATGGTCTTTGGGTTGGGGCCGGGTTGGCATACATGGAGCAGTTATTCTCATGAGCCTTCCTGATTTTACACATTCTTTTGCACTTACCATTGAAATTGGTGTTTGAATGTCCAAAGCCATTTGATCAAGATCATTCTCGAACTTTATCTGAACAGTGTGTCAAGTCATTCTAGCAATGTATTGGCGGCAGCGGACAAGCAGCCCTATGTGGACAGGGGAAGATCCTTATGGACATCCTGACTCTGCACCCGGCAACCCAGCCTGGCGCTTCTGCTTAGCGGATGCACGCACACCATCGCCGCGGCCACACTGGTGGCCGAATCAACAGATTCGATTTCCACCAGTGCCACCATTGCCCACATTCCATACACATGTGAATGACATGTTGACCATGCCAGGGAACTTCAGAATGACCATTGCTGGACCACCAGCCCATCAGACAGCGGCTACTAGGTCTGACAATGATGAATACCACACTCCAGAGAGAACCTCAGCAGCACAACCTTGTTCACCACCGATGAATCCGCCTTTTCATGAACATCATGATTCACCTGATCGAGTTGTTGAAATCTATCCACCAGGAATGTCACCGAAGTGGCTTTGGAAGAAGTATTCGACCCCACAGCGGGCAAGTCCACAGAGTGACTCTGCCACCATGTTTGGATCTCAAGTTTCTTCTTCACCAGCAATCGGACATTCTGCCAAAAAGGAGAGGAATCGCCGGGTGGCTGAAGGGCTGCTGAAGGAGCCTCAAATGGACAATGGTGGAATGGACACTGATCCTGACATGCTTGCTGAGCAGATTCATGCGGAGTCTCGTACTGCCGAGTTGAATCAAGATGCTCTACGCAGGCTTGATGAGGAAAATGCAAACATTGACCAAGTGTCAACTACATCATCGTCAACAATGGTCCTGGCTCCTACACCAATGCGATTGAAGGATTTCATGAAGAAGAAGCGTGCCTATGACAATGTTTCCCGTGCCCAGAGTCAGACTGAGGGTGTGTTTGACATGGGTGATCAAGATGAAGGTGGCCGACCGTCAAAACGCAGGGTGGTTGCCACTGGCGGCTCATCTTCCTCTTGCCCAGGCACCATCCAAACAACATTGACATGCAACATGTCAATCACTCTGGCAGATGCCAACCACTGTCAGAGTGTGTTGAAACCTACTGTTCGTCGTGGTGGGGGCAGGCAAGGCCAATGAGGCAGTGAAAGCCTAGACAAGGAATCGGAAGTCGATGCTGGTGGGGTCAGCCTGACTGTGTAAGTGCTTTGTTGTTGTTTGCTCTTGTTCTGCCAGCAATGGAATTGTGTTTCTCTGTGAGATTTGTTTATTTTGTTCATCAATAATTTGGCCCCGCCGCAAGTCGCGACTTATGACTGCAATGATCGGGAAATGACTGCTGGAAGCAGCCAATGACTCTTTGTCATGTAGTTCTAACAGTAGTTTGAGGATGTTCGAGATTTCCTTATTTTAGTGACAGTCTGATCTAACTACAGAAAAAGACTGACTGTGCACTATGACATGATGAATAATAGGCCACTCTAGATAGGATCAGCACTTAGTCTGGTCGCATTTGTCTTGACTGTTTGACACATCAAGACTTTGGCCTGAGTCTGTGAGAAAAAAGACTTAAAGAGTCAAACTCAACTACGGTCAGTCTGACATGCATGTGACGCATGACTTGAAGCATTGAGTCTAGCTGGCTGCTAGTACTTAATTCAAGTTTCAACAATGACAAGACTTAAGACGTTGATTGAATCAACTCAGATTAAGACGCATGATGATGACCCAGGGACTGACTGACAACCACTATGTCCGTCATGTATTTTTGTGTCGGCCGGGCCATCTTTCGTG